AAGCAGCAGAGAATCAGCCTAGAGAGGTCTTCAGTTTGCTAAATTGACACATTAGCATTATTAAATTCAATTTAGTGGCCCTCTTTAATTGCTTTTTCCATTGCATTTGAATAATCAACGTCATCAAAAACTTCTGTTTCAACTTTACATGCAGTGCTGATCACAGTGAGCTGAGTTTTGAAGTCAAAACAGGAGTACGTGAGGGGTGTGTCATGTCTGCAACCTTTTCAACATTACCATTGACTGTGATGTACAACAGAAGACATGCCAAGAGGCATTAAAGGTACACTCTTCTCATCCCTTGAAGATCTGGACTTCGCAGATGATGTCATTCTCCTATCACATAACCAACACCATCTACAAGAAAAAACAACTCGACTCAACGCATTCAGCCAGCAAATTGGACTGAAAATCAACCGCAATAAAACAGATATCATGACCTTTAGTATTGCCTCACCATCACCAGTATGGATAGAGGATTATGTTCTCACCAATGTAGAAACATTTACATACTGGGCAGCACCATCAGCCAGGACGGTGGAACGAGCCAGGACATCCGGAACAAAATCAATAAAGCCAGGAACACCTTCAGGAGCTTAAATACAGTCTGGAAATCATCAAAACACAGCACCTAAACCAAACTCAAGATTTATCAGAGTTACGTACTTTCAACACTACTTTATAGTGCAGAATGCTTGGGAATGAGAAAGTATGACACGTCCAAACTGTCTTCATTCCATACAACCTGACTCAGAAAAATCCTCCATATCTTTTGACCCAGAACAATCTCAAACCAAGATCTACTGACACAGTGCAGCCAAGAGGATCTGAGCACCATCATTGCCAGGAGGCGTTAGAGATGGATGGGTCATGTGCTTCGTATGAAAACTGATTTCATCACCAGAGTAGCAATAAGATGGACACCTGAAGGCAAGCAAAAACAAGGCCACCCGAAAACAACATGACAAAGAGCTGTGGAAGCCAAGCTGAAAAACCTGGGGCACAGCTGGGGAACCATTGAAAGACTTGCCAGAAACAGACAGGAGTGGAGGAGCTTTGTCACTGCCCTAAACGTAATAGGAACATGATGATGATGAAATGTCAGAAGATGTCTTATAGTTATCAAGTGCAAAGTATTAAAAAATGTGCAACATTCAGGGCTTGGCATAGCATCTCTATCCCTTGAAAGGATTGTAAAGAATACATTATTTGGAAGATACAGATAAGTTGAGATGCAGAAATATTAACACATTTCAGCAGTAGACTCTCTATTACTGCAAGATCTAAAATAAGCAGTACAAATTATGATAAGGAGGTAAATGTCATGTTTTTAAGGGCACCCATTCTAAGTTATCCTCCAGTCTTGTGCTGCATTTACTTAATGTAACAAATTCATTGGTCCTTGAAAGGTTTCTTTCCACAAATTATATAGTGGTCCTATCAACCCCCTCAACACCTTCTTGGTTTTACAGTGAAAGACATTAAAATAGTTGACATATGCCAACTGTTACCAGCCTTTTTAGGTCAAACAAGGGGAAATATTTAATGGCAACAGAGTAACATGATGAGGTAGAATCAAAAACAAAGTAAACTAGCAGCGTATTCCCATCTTTACAAATGGACCAAAATTCTAAATCCAGCATATGGAGAGCTTTACTAAATAGACTGTTTGTTTCAACTTGACTCTGATATTGGATCAGTCCAAGTGGGTATCACTCACAGATCAGAAGAAATGTTGTTCTCTTCCTGCCTGTTTACTTGCCTTTCTGTTCCTCTACATACCATAGAATCAGAGATAAATTTTAAATTCTTTGGGGCGCCTCTTTGGCCTGAAATCTTATATATTATACAGCTGCCAAGTGACCACTGTTTTCATTTCTGACCCTTATGAAACCATCAACAGTCCATAGTTTCAGAAAAGAAGAGAGAGAGAATTATTTTCCATTGGTACTTAGATTATTTTAACAACAACAACAACAACAACAACAGTGATATATGAACACAAAAACATTTCAGGTGCATTTGCTACCTCAAATTTAAATTTTATTTATTTGAACATTTAGTTTGGATGTGTGAGATGACACTTAAAAAAATCACTGCAGGCCTCCCTGTGAATCTGTATCCTCTTGTCTGAAAACCCCACATCAGCAACATCATCCAGAGGTTATTTCTGACACTTCTTGTGCTTTGTATTTTTGGTAGTGATCTAGACATGGCAGTTTTCTAATGAATACTTTTTGGAAATCTTTTTCTCAGAGAAATAAAGGAGAGAATTCCCCTGAATACATAATGTTAAAATCTCATTATAAAAATAAATTAAACCACCACTCTCCTTCTCTACACGATAATTTCCCTAATAGTTATGTCAAAGCAGGGGAATATTGCTTCAAGTATGGAATAGGTAACAGCAATAGATTAACTCTTAAAGAACAAAATTCCTGGTCAGCTAACTACAACTCCTGAGAGCTTTTAAGCTCTCAAAGCTCCATATTGCCACACAGATTGTCAGGAGTTGTAATTCAGCTCCATCCTAGGAAGACCAGTTGGCTCAGGAAACAGCACAAGTTACGTTATTCATCCATCAGAGACTTGGTGGAGTGTCTGAAAGGGCCAGAAGAAAACCAGGATTTAGCTCCACCAAGAGGAGGAAATTTTATCATTGACTTCAGTGGGTCTAGGATTTCATCTGCGTTTTCTCTTTTTTTAACGAAGCAGAAGAGCAAAATATCACCATTTTCCTTGAAAGGTCTTATGTAGACACCCCCTCTGCCCTGACCTCTGGAAAGAAAACTGTATCCATACAAGACTGTCTTTAAGTTTTCCTTGTAAGTTGAGGAAAACGTACACTTTTTTAAAAATTATGTATGTTTGAATGTATATATGTATATAAAGCTATTGATATGCTTGGTGCTTTGCAGACAGACATTCTCAGGATTTTTCCACTAATTTTGCTGGTGGGATATTTTTTTTGCATACATCTACTAGGTCCCAGTCGTGCAATATCATGATCACCCTCAATTTATTTAACATGAATGTGAATTGAAAATATATAGTACCATGCACGATTGGGTCCTACTAGAGGTGAGCAAACAAATTGTCCTGCAAACAAATGTTGTGAAAAAATGTCCGAGACCATTTTCCTATAAAGCACCATACATAAGTATATAAGGATTGGAGGATCAGTCCCTCCAAGCTTGATTCAATTCCAGTTAAAGTCAGTAGGAGTATTTCCATTGACTACAGTGGGAGTTAGATGGAAGTAACGCTTCCAGAAATGCCTAAGTCCCATTTTCAAAAGTGACTAAGCTCTGAAATGCCTATGTTACTTTTGAAAATGGGACTAAGATTCTAAATCTCATAGGTGCTCTTGAAAATTTTACTGAGCAGATGGTGGCCAAAATGTATTAATACCTTAGAATTATTTGCTGCATCTCCACTTGTCCTCCTTTATCCCTATCCAAATTTAACTATAGAATCTAGATGAACATCACTGTAACAATGCTGGTTCTGGCAGGACCCAACTGAGAGTGCCAATTCAGGACAAATTGCTTAAAGCAGGGCAGTTACAGCCTAAGACTGGGGTTTTTTCACCTCCAAGGCAAACCAAACCAGCCAAACAGAGAGGATTTTGGCTTTACCCCACTGGCTAATTACAAGTCACACAAGCAATTCCCTTAGACATTCCAGTTTCCCAGTATCACCACCAATGCCCCTCGTTATGGGGATGAATGGTTATGAAAACCAATACCCCAATAAAAGAAAAAAAAAGGTTCTCTCGATCCCAAAGGACCATGCCCCAGACCCAGGTCAATATACAAATCAGATCTTACCCACAAATCACGCTGTTGCCAGTCCTTTAGAATCTAAAATCTAAAGGTTTATTCACAGAAGGAAAAAGATATAGATGAAAGCTAGAATTGGTTAAATGGAATCAATTACACACAGTAATGGCAAAGTTCTTGGTTCAGGCTTGTAAGCAGTGATAGAATAAACTGCAGGTTCAACTCAAGTCTCTGGAGTACATCCACAGCTGGGATGGGTCATCAGTCCTTTGTGTAGAGCTTCCGTTTGTAGCAAAGTCCCTCCAGAGGTAAAAAGCAGGATTGAAGACCAGATGGAGATGAGGCCTCAGCCTTTTATAGTTGCTTCCAGGTGTAAGAACACCTCTTTGTTCTTACTGTGGAAAATTACAGCAAAATGGAGTTTGGAGTCACATGGGCAAGTCCCTGAATACTTTGCTGAGTCACAAGGTGTATCTGCCTTCTGTCAGTGGGTAAGTTGTATAACTGATTGTCCTTAATGGGCCATCAAGCAGGCTAGGCAGAGCTGACACCAACTTGTCTAGGGTGTCACCCAGAAGCATAGCATAAGTTTGAAATACAGACAGTATAGAACCGATATTCATAACTTCAACTACAAAAATGATACACACATACAGAGAGCATACTCATAACCAGCAAATCATAACCTTCCCATAGACACCTCACACGACAACCTTTGAATAATATTTGCTGCAAATATATAACAGTGGTTGCAACAATGATCTATACGGTTACAGATTATGTAAATAATGTCACAATCACCCAAGCTACTCAACTGCTAATTCCAAAATTCAGTTTCATTTTCCTAATGATCTGTAATTTCCAGAAAGCCTTTTTATAGCATTCTAGAGCAGTGGTTCTCTACCAGGGGTCCAGGAACCCCTGGGGGGCCGCAAGCAGGTTTCAGGGGGTCCGCCAAGCAGGGCCAGCATTAGACTCACTGGGACCCAGGGTAGAAAGCCAAAACCCCACCACATGAGTCTGAATCCCGGGGCCCTGAGCCCTGCCACCTGGGGCTGAAGCTGAAGCCTGAGCAACGTAGCTTCGCGGGGAGCCCTGTGGCATGGGGCCCCAAGCAATTGTCTTGCTTGCTACCCCCTAACACTGGCCCTGGCTTTTATATGCAGAAAACCAGTTATTGTGGCACAGGTGGGCCGTGGAGTTTTTATAGCATGTTGGGGGGGGCCTCCGAAAGAAAAAGGTTGAGAATCCGTGTTCTAGAGCATACTTCCGTTAGTTAAAAAGAATAAATCTGTGTAACTGCACACTGAATCCTTTAAAGTAGAAAATTAGCCTATGTTATGTTTAAACTCTACTATACAACTTAGATTTGTCCATTTGTTATTTTTAATTTTTTTTAGTCAATGCACTGGGCTGTCAGAAGTAAAAAAGAGCCAATGCTGGAAGCACCTGAGCTAAATAATAGCAACAACATAACTAATGACACTTGGGCCCAACAGACTGAAAACAATAAAGATGGATTGTCCGATAAGAGAAGGGAGCAAGATGATGCTGAGACTTCTGATGAGAAGCCACAATCACCAAAGAGTCCAGACTCTCCAAGTAAGTGGAACCAGTGATGTGACAGATTTCAGTGTCCAGGCATTTTACCTGATAGTGAAGTTTTTACTCATGGAAAACTCCCATCTAATTAAGTGGGAGTTTTGCTTGAGTATGATGTTCAGGACTGGGTCTTATAGGATAAACTGAATAAGAAATGGGTGACTACATAATTTTTTCAGTAATTCCCATTCCCTTACTTTCCTGTATATTTGCATATGTCTTATTACTTGGTGTGCACCTGTAAGAATATTAGACAGAGAACGTGATTTTCAGAACTGTGAGTACAATTAATGTGATCGCTCATGCAGTTGGCCACTTGTATGCATAAAGCATAACTAAGATGACTTCACATTCAAGTAACTGCATATGTACAATTTTGAAAATCAGGGCCTGAGAGGTGCAAATTGCAATACTAAGGATTCCAATGGCTGCAAGCTCTTAATTTAACTAGCTATCTCAGTTAGGGCCCAGTTTTATACCACTTGTGTCCTGGATTTTGATGTAATTTATTACAGAACTGTGTAACAACTTTTTCATCCAAAAGAGGCAAATTTCGGTATTCTTCTGTCTATAAAATATTACAAATCCCAGACCAAGTTCAAATTATGTCTCTCTCAAGGTGGCCCATTATTTCAGTCTCCACTGCCCACTTGTTAAATTTTCAAACAAGCACCTTTTGTGCTTTCTCTCATGCTGCCCCTCTGGCTTGGAAGGAGCTTCCGGCAAATATCTGCAAAGCTGCTTCACAATCCTCCTTCAAAACCCTCCTTTAAACTCTCTTTTTCTGTCATGGCTACAAAAAAAACTTGACCGCAGTTAGACTGCTGGTATTCTGAGATCAGTGCCTATCATGCTGATCAGTATTGTCTTATTGTTTCCTTGTTCTTCCCTGTCTGTATCTATCTGTTGTCTCTTGTCAGATACTTAGGGCTGGTCCACACTAACCCCCCAGTTCGAACTAAGATATGCAACTTCAGCTACGTGAATAACGTAGCTGAAGTCGAAGTATCTTAGTTCCAACTACAAGGTACTTACCGCGGGTCCACACACGGCAGGCAGGCTCCCCCGTTGACTCCGTGTACTCCTCTCGCGGAGCAGGAGTACCGGTGTCGACGGCGAGCACTTCCGGGATCGATTTATCGCGTCTAGACAAGACGCGATAAATCGATCCCAGAAGATCGATTGCTTACCGCCAAACCCGGAGGTAAGTATAGACGTACCCTTAGATTGTAAACTCTTTGGAGCAAGGACATCTTGTGTGTTTCGTACAGAGCAGTGGGGGGGTCCATGACTAGGGTTCCTCAGTGGGGGTCCATGACTAGGGTTCCTCAGTGCTACATGCGATATAAATTAATAATCTAGTTTTGTGGTATTTTCTGCTCTAAACATTTAGGGGCTAACTATTTCTCATTTACACTAAGGCCCTTTTACACTGCTCTCACAATGTACACGAGTGTTAAAGTGGGTATAAATGACATTTACACCTAATACAAGGACCTTTTACACTTCTGAAGAAGTATACAGGGGGTCTTAGTGTAAAGAAAAAACTCAGTCTGTAAACTTTTAAAAAAACCTAAAGGCATAAATTGGAGCTAGGCAACTCTGAACTTATTCTGAGCCCCATTAATTCCTCCACTGCAAAAATGAATACATCTTTTAGTTATTAAAATACTGACTGTGCTTGGTTCTGTATAAAAACACAGAAGATGACCTATTCCTTGTCTCAAAGAGTTTGTTTATTTTGTTAGAGGGGCTCTTGCATGCTAGATCAATACAGACTCTTCTCTTTTTGTTTGATCCTGCAGTGGTTTCATAATTCTGGGTTTAGGCCATCACAGAACAGCAAGTGATTATAATGTAACGAAGTACTGCCTGATCAAATAGGAAGTGAGGTGGAGCTGTGAGGGATTAAACCCTTGTTTAAAACCAGACATCTTTGGAATGTAGCAAATATGATAAGAAAATTTTATACACATGAAGTATAACTGGAGTTACATTTTAACATTAGACAAATGATGCTCTTTAAAAGTTTAGCAGATTAAAATATTTGCCATTTTAAGTCATATTAAGTCTGCATTCCCATTTTGCTGTTGGACTTTAATAAGCTAATATATTACTGTGCAAAGATGTTTTGATTTCCAAATTTGGGTTTTTTTTATTTTTTTGAAATAATTTCAGGTTTGTCTTTTTCTGATGTACTAGGTCAGTGATTCTCAAACTTTTGTACTAGTGACCCCTTTCAAATAGGAAGCCTATGAGTGCGACCCCCCCCCTTATAAATTAAAAACACTTTTTTATATATTTAACACCATTATAAATGGTGGATGCAAAGCGGGGTTTGGGGTGGAGGCTGACAGCTTGCGACCCCCCCATGTAATAACCTCGCAACCCCCTGAGGGGTCCCAACCCCCCAGTTTGAGAACCCCTGTATTAGGTAGTCTCTGACAAAAGCTCTGATTAGATGGATTTAAATAAGTTGCACGGCTTTCTTTCATCGAGGAGTATTATGCTATAATAAATTTCTATGAGGCTTTCTTTTCACATCAGTTATGTTTTAGAACTTACTTGGATTGTTAAGCATATCTGAAAGACTTCCTCTGTAACATGCTTGTGGAGTGTCAAAGGGCTCATGTTTTTTGTTTTCCATATATATTGATACACACAAGTTACTTTCATATAGCTGAGAACATAAGAATGGCTATACTGGCTCAGACCATTGGTCCATCTAGCACAGTATCCTGTCTTCTTACAGTGGCCAGTGCTAGATGCTTCAGAGGGAATGAACAGAACAGACTCATTGCCCATATTTGCTCAGTTTGTTAATAGTTTTTGTTCAGATGACACCTTTGTTCTCGCTCTCTCTTCCCCCCTCCCCCGATCAAGGACTGAAACTTCATGCTAAAGACCTACATTTGACTTATATTTTAGTCATAGTAATCAAGACCTACTTTAGCCTAAGTGGGTGAGGTAATATCTTTTATTGGACCAATTTTTGTTGGTGAGAGAGAGTCCAATAAAAGATATTACCTTACCCACATTTTCTCTCTAATATTCTGGGACTGACACGACTACAACTACACTATAACTACTTTAGCCTCGTCAGTTTTAAATGTTTCTTTTAATAATTAATTTCCTCTCCCCTTTTTTTCTTTTTTCATAGGATTTTTAGATGCAAATTGCTCGCACTTGCGTTTCCGCTGGTCAGGTGATGCCCCTTCAGAGCTTCTGAGGAAGTTCAGAAACTATGAAATATAAAGTATGAACCCAAGATACATGAGAGCATGGAATCAGCTGCTCAACAGTGCAGTATTTTTTGTCCATGGTTAAAACTTGTTTGTATCTTGTGCCTGTTCACCATTATTTGAATGTTCAATTATGTGGCTTTGTAATACTGATCTGTTATCACACTTTGTATAAATATTTTAGGTGGAAGAATTTTTGAGAGGGCGAGGCACTATCTTTATTCAGTAGTAGCATAAGTAACAATTATATGCATAAAGTGGTCCAGTGTTTTATATCAGTTTCCTGTGTTCTTCTTTAGTATACAATCAGAAGGCTTTTCTGTCCATATTAAACATATAGAATGTATTGTGC